GGGAGTGTGCTCCCTCGTTTACGGCTGCCCCATCACAGTGTCAGCGTCAGTCTCGGCAGCACAGGAGGAATTAAACCAGCACATACTGACCATTTGGTTTTCCTTCGTGCAGAGGAGCTTAGTGACCCACAGCTCATGCACGCGCCAGACAGCGCGGATACCAGCTAGCTCGTTTTGTCCCCTCGCAGAGGTTCCATCAGCTGCTCCAGTGTCTGAACTAGTGTCTGTGCTGCTGAGTAATCCTGTTAACGCCCCAAAGGTACTTTTTCTTTCTGCTCCAGCTATTAGCTGTGGCTGCTGGACTGCAGGACCTGCTTGTCCTTTAATCTGAGATGAAAAGGGCAGTTTCCTCCTCTCTTGTTTTTCTTTGTTGTTATGCTGGGCACCGGAACATCGTGCGCTAATTTGGGAATTAGACAATTTCCTTAAGCTACGTAATTAAAAGACATTATGTCTAGGTCTCCAAATTATTTGATTAATAATTCTGTTAAAGTCATAGCTAGCGCAGTAAGAAACTTTAGACACTTCTTCAGTAAGATGTCTGATAGATTGCATGCACCACATTAAAATTAAGTAATGACTTTTTTGCTAGCCTTGTAGCTTGGCTGTCTGTGAGGGCCCGTTTGTGTTGCAGATGGTGGGGCAGGGAGCGGGGGTGGCTTGGTTCAGTTTGTGCAGTTTGGTTTTCGGGAGAGGGGGCGGTGAACCCACCACAGCGGTATGGAACAGTCCTGTCCCTGGGAGGGAGGGTTCTGAAGGATAATTAGCTCTGTTCTGGTTCTTTGCAGAAATGTTGCAAGTTCTCTTGAGACTGATCCTGCTCACGTTAAAATGATGTCTCTTTTTTTTTTTTCAGCCTTAAGAATTGGAAAGTCCCGGCTGCCTGTGGGGCTGCCTGGAGACGGAGGCATTGCTGCAGGGGCCGGGGGGACGCTGCTCGCTCTGCCGAGGCTCGCCGCCTCGCGTGGAGATGTTCCCAATTCCCAGTTTTGGGCTGCTTTAAGTCTGAGCTGTGCTGCGGTGCAGCCAGTCCGTGTGTGGGGCTCCAGTTACTGACTGTTTGCCCTCTGCTCGTTG